CTAGCGATAGCATCGGCCGGCTCACGGGTCAGGTCGCGATTGTCGGATTTCAGACGATTGTCGGCAAACATGCAGGTCTACTCTATGTTGTATGATCAGAATGTCAGGGAAACATGAAGCACACTAGGGACCAAACAAATACAGGGACAGGCGCGCCATGAACCAGGCGAAGTGTTAATTTAGCTTGCTTTATACCAAACAGCTATAGGCACAGGAGCCTCATGAAACAGGTGAAGTGTCAACTTACCAAAAACAGCAGGGTTGTAGGCAGTCATGATGAGAAGAATGAGCCAGGACTTCCACATGAGTCCCATGATGGCCAGGTTGGGAGGGCTGTACCTGCGGCGGAAAACATCACGTTCTACATACAGTTGGGCACAGATAACACGAACACAAAAAACTCACAATCACGGATAATCCACACAATTTGCCATGCCTCGACTGATATCTCTTAAATTTTTTTAAGTTTTCGTTACTGGTTAGCCTGATTTATGGATGTGTCAAACACATGACATGTTTGAGTTATCTGTGTCTGAGTATGCTTGTTTTGTGAAAAAAAAAATGTTTCTTAAGAAACACTCCAACACTTCAAGAGGCATGATGTACAGCTACAGGCTGGTCATTGAGGAGCCTGAGGCCCGGAGACATAATAATCAAATGTGTCACGGCGCTGTGAAATCAGGCGCACATCAATTTTGTGGCACATGGAGTTATTGGTATCATCTTTAAGGATCTTCATTTGACTTCCTTTCGATGAAAAAAATATTCATTTATCTTGAATAGAAGTCGAGATATTTGCAATTGAAAGAGATGGGGTTGCCTGGTTTCAGAAGTAAAATTAGCTAGAAAATGGCCGCCAAAGTTTGGTGACTTCCGTAGCTCAAGAGTCCTTGGAAAGCGCAAATTTACATTTTTCGAGCCTTTAATCAACGTTTTTCATTAAAAGCCACACATTAAAGTGTTTCTGAATGGACATACAAGGTGTTGATCCCCCAAAAAATAATTTTTAAAATAAATTTCAAACTGGACAAAAAATGCCGATTTCTTTGACTTCATTATTATGACGAGCGCCTGGTTTCACCATGATCATACCTGCCAACATTTCCAGGGGCAAAATCTGTAGTTGACACAAATTTTTTTCCAAAAATCTGTAGTTGACCTAAAAAATCTGTAGTAGGCTATATTACCACTTGTCGCATACTTAATTTGGGACCCGTATCAATATTTTGACCCACATCAAATACGCATGAATGTGTTTGCGACTTCAAACAAATGTAGAATTTAGTGGAAAATGATTAAGAACAAAAAAAATGACAAATATGAAAACTACCAGAGGCATTTACCCTATAGTAGTTGGTGCCGTTCCTGTCCTATTCATATGTGCACGCACACACAAATGAAACCAACCCCCCCCCCCCCAAAAAAAAAAGAAGCAAAGAAGAAAAGATGAAGAAAAGGTGGGCCTTGGATGACTTAGCCTTTGCCTTTGCAGAGTTTACAAGGTAAGAGTACGACGGATCCCGAGTCCACACAAGGCCTCAACCAACGCGCGTTTTGAAGAGAGTTCTAGATCTAGTAGTAATCAAAATTTAGAATGCTAAATTTTGCTTCCAAAATCAGTTTTTGTCACCTGGAGGCAATAAGGGAATTATCAGGTTCGGTTTTCAAATATTCGACAACTTTTTCAAATTCCCGGATAATTCCTGGGGCCTGGAAGTCACCCTGCTGAATCACGAAGTCGGTGGCTTATCTCTCAAAATCGGTGGATCGGTAGTTTGACCAAAAAGTCGGTGATCTACCGATTTTTTCTGTAGGGTTGGCAGGTAAGCATGATGCCTCACAAAAGCTAATGATAAGTGAAAAAGACAAAATAAGCACGGGCTCCATCAGTTATGTTCCATACCTGAGAGAGACAGAGAAGAGAGGTACATGTACTGAATTAAAACACATACCCCTGTGGTAGAACTATATTCTCTGGGTGCTTGTAAGCACAAAGGTTGAGCAAAGCCTCAAAGAACTCCACCCGCTTCATCTGTAGGACGTCCATCAAACCAACTGGGAGAAAAAATTAAATTAAAGTGATACTTTATATTCTCCATCTATTTTTTCTGTGTCTACATACTTCTTTAACTCTTTATCTCAATGGGGCGTAAACCCACTATGCCGGGCCCTTTCTTTGGTACTAAATCTAAAAATGACAAAAACGTCACTAAATGGGTCATTAAATCAAAACAAGTGAACCTATTTTGATAGTTCTTCATCTAAGGAATGAACTCCCCATAAAAGAGACCTGTTTTCGGCAATTGCCTAAAAGTGATTTGATGTCGAAGTCGTCATAAAGGAATGCGCCCGAGCTGCTCCACTGCCAGCGGCTCACCAGCACAGGGGTTCCATCTGCGAGCCGCTGGGAGCTGATTGCCGGAGATAAAGAGTTAGAGATCATCTGTCCAGATGCAAAATGTTGCAGATACACTTTTTACTCTTTAAAAAATGTTATTTGCAAACAGCTGCAACTACAGAGAATAACTCTTTATCTGACTATTTACTATCTTAGTCCACTTTCGGAACTATCTGCAATATTTCTCTGACTCTGCCATTGCCAAGTACCTTTTTGCAGTAAGATAAATGGAGGGGAAAAAAAAATATATAGGTAGGTACTTTTTTAAAACCAATCTGACACATTCCTGGTGTGACCAAGTAAGGCTTCAATTTTATAAGCTTTGATTCTATAAATAACACCTTCTCCGTTCTTTAAACACTCATTGCTGTTAAGACAGATAAAAGTATTAGTATACTTTTTGTAATGAGACAAATAAGGTTTGCAATGGCCTTTGTCAAAATAAGGTTTCCAAAGCACAATATACACACATGTAAAAGTATACACAGAGTGAGCACCAATACAGATATTGTCAACCGTAATAAGGGCATTGCAAAAACATTTTTTTTTAAAGTCAGCTTAGAAAATATCTGAACAAATACACTCCCGCCCCCCGAAGGTGAGAGTACAAATTCACTTACGTCCGTAGTACAGCGAGGCTGCCCTTCGCACCAGCTGGTCCGTCAGCTCCACAGCATCTGGGGCAGAGAGGGGCATCTCCTTCATGTAGCCCACCACCATCACCCTCATCAGGGTGTCCTCTATCACAGGAGCCTCCATCGCCAGCTTTAGCATTAGCCTGTTGACAAGACATAGGACGAAGGACATTTTTCAAGAAGAGCAGAATCTTCCTGTTTCTGAAAGAATAAAACCTTGTATGTTGAAGACCTGACATATCACTGAAAGAAAAAACCTTGTATGCCAGAGACCTGAAAGCTGGCATAACGATCACATTAAATATTGAAATGAAGCACCCTATTTTAAGAGAAGGAAAAACCACACTCCCTCAACTTGATGAAAGAAAAGAAAACATTCTCACCATCTCTCGCTTTCAGGGGGCCAGTTGTCCTTATTATAATACTGCTCTGCTGACTCCAAAAACAGGACTTTCTTAAAGCTGAAAATATATATATATCAAGAAAATAATATCTATTAATAAATCATTCTAAAGGCAAAATGAAATTTGTACAAATTTAAACTAGTTTGAGATCAGTGCTCACACACACTATATCACATACAAAAATGAGGATCTAATACTAAATTCATATCACACAAATGTGCTGCAAAGTTGCTTACATCATATGTTGCAATACAAAGCCTTAATTTTAACGAACAACTGTAAAGAAAATAACAGACAAAACAGTAAGAAATGTATCATTGCTGTTAAGACAACATCATATGTTGCAATACAAAGCCTTAATTTTAACGAACAACTGTAAAGAAAATAACAGACAAAACAGTAAGAAAAGTATCAGTAGGCATACACAAACTCACCAATGGAGATATGGGTCTGCTTTAAGCTCAACAATTTTAGGTACAACCATGTGCAGCCACCAAACGGCATCTCTTTGAATTACCGCCACTTTTCGCTTGAACACATGGATCAACTCCAGGTCTAAAGTGTGAGAAGAGATCAAACAAAAGTAAATGTTAACAACTGTTCTATAAACATATCAATAGCCAGTAAGCATCTCCCAGTCTTCTATTAGACCATTTAATTCTTTTTCTCTTAAACTCCATGTAGGTTGTTTTTTTATTTTTAAAAATGCACCAAAATAAATTTACTCAGTAAAAATGTTGCACAACAACCTTGACTGGAAAAGATCCATCTGAATAAAGAAATGAAAGGGGACCCATGATCAAAGACAGCGATGATTCTTGTGAAATGTCAGATTACAGTGGAATTCTGAACCTATAGAAAGTTTTTGACAACATGTAAAGACCCTGCAAACATACATAGTCATTCTTGACAAACATGTGCATGTGGACAAATGTATCGTGACACAGACATAAATTTGGTGAAGTGCAGTCCAATACCAGTTAGTGAAGACCCTTACTTTTCTGGTCGCCCTGCATGAGTCCTGCAGCTGCCTCTCTGATGCTAGGGGCCACACTCAGCAAAACATCCATGGAGACGAGGTCAGCAATTGACACAATGTAACGCTCCTGAAGACAATCCAGTTAATACATTTTAGCAAAACAAGGCTGTCATGAGTCATTGACATACAAGGAACTTAGAAACAAAAAGGTGTGAGGCTGAAGGACATGAATAAAAAGGCTATGGGACCAAAAAACAAAAAAAATTTAAAGCACTTTAAAAAGCAAAAGCTGAGACAGAGAAAATGTATGCACTAATGTATCAGAATGAAACTGCTCATTTTGATCTTATAAAAACTAGATTCTAGTCAGTGGAAGAAAGTAAACAGGAAATACAACATTTCAATACAGCTTAATCTACCTGGTCGCTGTTTATTTCATGTCCTTGTGCTCAACATAAAAAGTGAGTACATGAAAGTATCACTGAATCAGAAAAGCAGCCCATTTGGATCCTCTAAAATCATCATAAAGGTTACTAAAAGGAGGTAGAGTACAGCAGGCAACACAAACTTTTAATAGCTATTAATCTACAATCCATCTTCACAGTGTAAATCTCCTGTTCAGAGACGGCAGGAACAGAAAACATGCACCGACTGGTATATCCCAATGTTCATTTCTGTTGTCTAAAAAAGGAATACAGCATTCTATAAAGCATGGAATAGCCAGTTTAAACAAACGTTGATCTAGTTGGTCTGTCTGTACAAACCCTGAGTGTACTGTCCATGTCATCATGAGGCTGTCCAGTACGTTCCTGCATCAGACCCAGGCAGAAGGCGTAGAAGTTCATATCCAGTCTCGTACTCCGTACAATCTCACGCAGCAGCATGCGGAGAGCCCGTAGATAGTCATCCTTATTGGCAAGTAAATCCTGGAAAACTTCTGCTAGAATCTGAAAAAGTATGGGAACCAATTTCATTGAAAAGCGGCTGCATCAAACTGTTTCTGCACTTCATGCACAAAATTTTTTGTGAAGGCGTAGCAGAGCAATCACCAGTAAACCAATTCTAAACCGTTTGGATTACATTCCCCATCTTATCTTTTAAGTATTTGATCTCAAAACCTGAACTGTACATTTGTACAAATATCTGAGAGAGCATGTTTCTATAGTTATTGAACAGTTCAACATCCCATGTAAGACTGACATGTATTTTACTGTGATTCTTTACGATAACTTTCATATACTGCCTGGGATAAACAGACACAGGGGTCAAAGAAATGAAATGCAAAGAGCATACCACACATGAGTGATTACTCCCTACCCGTTTCTGTCAAAGTAAGACTCCCCATTATCTACCCTCAGGAAAATGTCACTAACCTTAGCAGCGCTATCAGGGGACTGAGAGAAGATGACTCCGAGTAACAACATGTTGTTTGGGTTGCGAGAGGTGGACAGCTCATTGTAGATGGTAATGTTCATCATCAGCTGGAGATTCTGTGGATTCTCAGTCAGCAGCTCTCTGTAATAAAACCATACCTAAGGGCTAGTTTTGATTTGAGGCAAGTGTGCACAGGGGGGAACTTTAAAAAAACTAATAATCAGCCAAGTTCAGTGAGAAGAGCATGTCAATATAATGATCAATAAATATTTGGAAAAGGGAAGAGACAGTCAGAACCAACATTGTGTTGTCTCCTGTCTAGAAAGCATACGACAAAAACACCATAAACGTCAAAAGTGACAGAGTAGAATTGTAAAAAGTCAGCAGAAATGTTCAGGTTCATTTCTCAAAATAATTACTCACCAATATTCTATACAACTTCTCTTATTAGCCATATCTTTTCTTATTGACAGCATAAATATTAATGTACACTATTCCATCTGATTGACAACACTGAAATGAGCTTATCATTGTACAAATTTCTATCAGACTTAGATCCCAACAGGTAGAAAAATTTATCAATAAAGAATTATTTTTTTTACCTGATACATGTAAGAAAGTGATTGACCAGAGGCTTCGTCTTCATGCGCATCTTCGTCATGTTGGTGACCACTTCCCGGTCAGTCTTGTCCGGCTTGTCACAGTTGGTGCACACGGCTAAGAGAAGGTCTTGTGCTACCCTAGTCAACTGAAGAGGGGAAAAACATTCTTGAGGTATGGTAAAATGCAACTCAGCATGATGATTTTTTGGCGAGATTTTATTTGATTTTAGTAAGAGTTTTATGGCACTTGCAACACAAATAGGTCGTATAAGTACGGAACAATATTACAAGCAAGTAACAAATATTTTTAAAAAGAAAAAAGGAGAAATAATAATAAAAGTTCTTAATTTTAGTAAAAGTTTTACACCATTTGCAAAACAATAAGGTCATACAAGTGCCAAAGATAAGAAGTGTTACAAGAGAGTAACAAACACAAAAAAAGGAGGAGAGATGACAGATGTTTGACAGGGAAAGAAGGAGCAAACCACACCAGAGCACCTGCCTACCACCCACTAATAAATGTTTAACAGGAAAGATGGAGCAAACCACGTAAGAGCACCCCCCCCCCCCCACCACCCATGCCATGATGATGACGACAGCCACATTTCACCAGGAATAAATTACACCAAGGAAACATTAAAAAACAGTGACAGACTAGACCACTCAGCTAATCATGTCTGCATGAAAGACATGCTATGGTCTCCAAAAGCTGTTAGTTCACAATAATGAAGTACGAAAGACAGGCAGTATGGCTGAGCCATAGGCATTTGTCGAATCTGAAACTCATTCCATGAAGGGATAAATGGTTAAAGTCAGAAAAACGCTCTCCACATTTTATAAATTCCACTGTGAATGTTGGTGAAAATATTATGACTAAAATGGTATAGAAGTGTTCCCAAATAACAATCAATACCTTAGGGTTTTGAAGCCACATTTCCATGCGGTGGGCAGCCATTGAGCGCACTTCTGGAAAACCAGCACAGGAAGTCATGAGACGAATAAGGTTGCGAGACGAAGAGTCCATAGATTGGCGATGATTCAAAATGTCACGCATTGTATCCAACACATAGGACTCAATAGCCTCCAGCTGGCTGGAATACCTGAAATTTTTTCAGAAAAGCAATGTCACTAGATTTTCAAAAGTGGGCTATCAGTAGATTTTTTTTAAAATAATAAAATTTTGACTCTTCCAGTCATTCCAACTATAAATAACAAACATAACAAATAGATTCACAAGAAGGGGTAATTTTTTTCAGACTGGTGACTGGTGACATTCCTAATAGCTAATATCATGATAGTTGAAATATAAAGTCAACAACTGCTCCTCATCAGCTTGTAAAACTATACAGCACTGGCTAGAGGACCAAAAGTCAAGTGATTGTATCAAAAGCAACATTGCTGAATAAAAAACCCTCCAAAACTGCATTCATCAGGGGTTCAAAAATTTGACAAAGATTTGTCAAGTGTAAATGTGCAAGTGACAGTGTAACTGGAGGTGAAGGGGGAACTATATTACTGCATTGGCCAGGACAATGAAAAGTAGTACGTGCCTTGGAACTACAGAAACTGCCCCTCCAATGCCTGTTTTGTCTCCATCTCCACCATCGCTGATCCTTGAGGTGTCATCTTCTTCCATAGTAGCAGGGGATGGGCTTGCTAATAAAAGAAATGTTTTTTTTTAAATAGCCCATGAAAACACATTTTTTAAAAACATAATGTCAAAAAATATATTCAAGTCACTCAATTTAAAAAAACAACAATTAACCAACTTAGCATAAGTGTGAACTAGTCACTATAGCAGTCTAAGACCAATACCATTCTCGAATTTTGCTCTTCTCATCACCAGCGTCTTTCTTTTCATCAACCATAAATAAAACATACAAAATTATAACTAAAGACAGATGAACGTCTTATAGAAGGTTCATGAATCTTTATCACTGAGGAAAGAAACAAGACCGAAAACAATAACATACACATTACACACTGGGATAATCACTTTCAGCACTCAAGGTAATCACAAAGTTTGCAACCGTAACAAACAGACATCCTGATTGAGTCATTAAAATCGAGAAAGTCACATATATAGCTAGGAAAGTTACTGAATTAGAGGCAACTAAAAAAAAACAACAGACAACTATGAATCTGTTGAATTTTGCTTATTAGCAAATATATTAAATCACTGCAATATTTACAAGCTCCAGATGGCTCCACCCGAAGAGCCTCAGCTGTAGCCTTAAGTAGGTGTTTGGAGGACTTTTTGGTGCCAAATGCCGTGAGGATGTTGTCTACAAAGCCACGGCAGTCATCACGGTCGACCCATACTCTCTCTCCAAGTGAATCTTCAACAAAAACCTGATAAGAGAAAAAAAGTACAGAAATTTCTATCATATCTTTTTCCAAAAAGTTTTTAAAATCTATCTTGGTGACAAGTGAAAAAAAAGGAAAAACTACCAAATATTTGAGCAAAGTATTGCACCAAATAACAAAACATTTATCACAGCAATTTCTCAAAAATGTGAGATCTTTTAGACCATACAATGACCTAGATTCACTCTCCTCTTTAAAACTTTAACAGTACTTCATAACCAATATTCAAGCATCTCTGAAAAAAAACTTCATCTCACATTGTAAATCAAAAGACAAAACAAGTTTGTAGTACTTATAGTCAAACAAGACCCCAAAACTCCAGCAACAGAGGTAATAACTGCTTCATTAAGTGCAAGTACATAATAGAGAGACCTTGACAAAGTTGTCGGGCCAGGTCTCCTCCTCAGCAAAAGCATTCATTAGGACATTGCACGCCAGTACAGACACTGCTGGGTTCCCTTTCGCCTTGAAAGTCAGCGCAACTTCACGCTTAAGTAGACCACAGAAAGCCTAAGGAAAAAAATGTTTAGACATTTATTATAAGAAGAAAAAGTCTGAAAACTAAAGTCATATACAACATACTCATCAAGAAAAACTTTCAAAAATGGGAATCAAAATACCATATCAAAGGACACTGAAAAACATAACAGTCTATCAATAATAATTGCTGTTCCTCCCAACCAAAGCATTAAAAATAAAAATCCTTTGTAACATACAAAAAAAGAAAGAGGAAAATGTAAGACACCTAATGCAACATATATACTATATATATATTTACACCACTGTAATAAAATGTGGACACGTTTCCAGCACAGAGTAAAGTCCAAGGGAAGGCAAATTGTTATAGTAGTGCTATGCCACCAACCACTGAAACAATCTATATTTTGAAAAGGTATTTAATAATGCAGCTTCAACCTAGACAGGGCCAACCAGAGCTGTGTTGGATACACTCCAGTAAAAAAGAGGGAAATAATATCTTTTCTCCAAAAAGAAACCGAACTCACTTTCTTTGCAGGCAAATAAAAACTAACAGTAATATTTGGAAGCAGACACTTAGAATGTGTATCAGACAACTCAATAGTATTACTCTCATTGCTACTGGAACTATATTGTCAAACATATCCACAAAGCTTCTATCTATATAAACTCTTGAACAGGACTATGACAGGAAGGAGAAAAAAAATAAAAGAAACAAGCCTTCCACACTATAGAAATGGGAATCTAAGCATCTATGGAATTCGCACAAGTCTTTCCACCAGAACAAACCTCAATAATGACTTCTGTGCAAAACAAAGCCGGCTTGCTTTTTGAAAGGTACATCAGAGTCAGGCTGACAATCTGATCTGGCTTGGCTCTGTTGCTCCGTAAGTGCTTCACAGCTCCACAAATCAGAGCCTCTGCTTGCTCATCATTCATGGTTTCCTCAGCAGCCAAAATTGCAGGTAGGAATTCAGTAGCTTCCACTGAAAAATAAAAATTACACATACAATACATACAATGTCCAACTCAAATTGGATAAAAATATACACCGAAAACAAACTTTTATGAATGGTTATCTTTTCAGTTTCATAAAAAACAAACAAAATTCAACAAATCAAAACTGTCTATTCTAGAAAAAGAAAGTATTTAAAAGAACACAGAACAACAGGGTTAAAACAAGCTTTATTCTTTTTAATTTTATGCCAATTTAGGAACAGCTCAAAATTTTCAAAACTTATAAGTTAGCATGCAAAGCTTATTTGAGCATACATCTGGTATGCTTCCATGAAGAACATAAAATTAACCATAAAAATACATAGTCTTTTTGAAAATAAGTAAGATGAGCCTATAGGGCTTTTCCTAACACGAAAAAAAACCCACAAATAAATCACCCACCTGTAACAGCAATTTCATCATACTGAGGAATATTGCCGCCTGTGAGGCTACTGGTGACATCACTATGAGGTCGGCCAAGGCCAGAGAAGGAGCTGCCCCCGAGCTTTGGTTTCTTTGCAATGGAGGAAGATGACAATGGTGAGCCTGAAGACTCTTTCTTCCTCCCAGCGTGTGGAGGGCTTGACGGACGTTTGGCCTCTCCATCAGAAGTCTTCGCCTGCTTACCCAGAGCTATGAAATCCCCTGGGGCAGGAGGGGCAGCTGAAAAAAAAAAAAAAATTTTGATGATTACAAGAAATAATGTTGACTTTTGTTGTTGATTAAAATGACCATATATCAGCGCTCTCCTTTTCAGTTCTCATTAATAAAATAGGCCTAAACACAGTGTATGTGACTATGAACCAAGAATTCTCCAACCTACAGCCAAATATTGCAAAGAGCAAACCTGTACTTATAATAATTAAAATTAAATTAGTTAGGTACGAGGGTGAAAATGCATTACATTGATATATTAGACCTACAGCAAGCATATTTTTTCGTTCACCAGCCCACAGTGCTGTCTCAATGGGAACAGCTGGTGGCGTTTCAGAAAATAAAAGACCACTGCCCTCCCCCTACTGTTATTAAGTGTATGATTAGTAGAACCTGAGACATCAAAAAAACAAAACATGGGTTTTAGTAGCCATCGCACGGGATACGTTTACAGAGCACTGGACGATGGAATATATATGAAGATGCATGAGGTACATCTACAGCCCAGTCAAGGGTTTATGTTTTAAAAGTTTTGGGGATACCAGATATATGTCAACTCCGAAATCCTCACATATGTGTTTTTAACACCCTATGTACCACCTAGAACGCTCAGATCATCAAGTGACAAAACAACCCCTGTCAAACCTAACATAAAAGAAAAATCATATGGCTAACACTCTTTTTCATATTTTGCCCCACTTGTTTGGAATAGGCTTTCAAAAACTATCACAGAAGCAGAAAATCTAGAAATTTTAAAGAAATAACAAAAAGCATTTCTATTTTAATCATATTTCAATTAGACAGAATCCATCCAAGCTGTAGATCGTTGTGAGTTTGTATGTGCGTATGTAATACTATGTGCCTATATAAATGATTTGTAATTCCATAATAAGTTTCATGTTAAGTGCATAGAGCATTGAATTAGTGGATACACGCGTTATATAAAAATGCAATATATTATTATTATTATTATATATCATCCCTTGTTACATTCACTACAATTTTCACCATAGATATTGTGATCCTTCGTCCAGAATAATTTGAGTGCGCACATGAACAAATCCATCACATTTTAATTGAATACCCGTTTTAAGGTAACACTTCACCACTGGATGCTTACAATAGTGGAATCCCTTTCATACTGAAAGAGTGAAGATTCAATTTTGAAACAATTCACCCAGAAGGTATAAAAATAAGTAAAATCAGTTTAAAACCACTCTGTGACCTACATGACGTACTCCTTTCGTAATTTTTTCTTATACGGTTCACCCGCCTGTAAAGTCACAAAAATTATAGATACATCTAGATAGGTCTAGTTTGCGATAGTTTTTAGCGCAAAAAAAAGTACAACCGGCAGCTTCAATTTTACCTCTAGACTAGTTAGTAAAGTTAGTAAGTCTAGATAGATATTAGATCTAGAATCTAGATTACATTCGATCTAGATATCTAGATCTTAGATCATAGTAGAAATCTAGTATTCAATTAGCGAAGCGGCTAGCCGTACTCAGATCTAGGAGGTTTGGCCCTATTGACTAAGACCTGTTGAGTACACAGATCTCATTAGATCTATCTTAGTAATTATTCAGGTTTAAAATGTATATCAAGTCAGTAAGGTACCTTTTGGTTTTGTCTGAAATACAAATACTTTTAGCACTGCAAACTAAAAAATTCACATAAAAAAGTACGGCTAGCCCTATAACTTACTATAACAAGCCTGCCAGTCTAACCGTATTATCTTAGGGTCTGGAGCTTTTTCGGTAGTTCCCACCCCCCCTTATTTGAGCCTAGATCTGGAATCTAGATTTCTTAAGGAAGAGGCTAGCCGTACTTAATGACGGCTCGACAGCTGGGCTAGCAGTACTTATTCTTTTAATATAATGGCCAGACTGACCATTAAAAAAAAATAGGCCTACGGAATTGTAAATATAAATTTTTAGTTTGCAGTACCTAAAGCCTAAAGTATTTGTATTTGAGACGAAACCAGGTGCCTTAATGAACGACAGTGCACGTATTTTAAACCTCCTGTTTTCTAATGTTAATAGGGCCTAAGATAAGTACGGTCAGTCTAGCCGGCTAGCACTTCTTGTCTAGCCGTACTTAATAAAAGTACGGATAGACAGCCAAGCTAGCCGTACTTAAGGTCGGCTAGACTGTCAGGCTAGCCGTACTTAATATTGATGGCTGAATTGTAAATAAAATTTTTAGTTTGCAATGCCTAAAGTATTTGTATTTCAGACAAAACCAAAACGTGCCTTACTGACTTGCTTATTTGAACCTGAAAAATATGTGAGGAAGAGTAAAATGAAGCATTCATGTGCCTGTGTGTGAGGAAGATGTTCATATGAGTTTGTGATATGTGTGGAAGAGTAAAACGAAACATTCACGTACCTATGTGCGAGTAAGATGTATGTGAGTCTGTTGTGGTGGTTGTAGCATGTCAATAAACATTAGTTCTGTCTTAGGCCCACTGTACAAAAGGAGTTCATCTTTGCTTCTTTCCTCTTTTCAAACACCTAGTTGTGCTTCAATTTGAGTATACCGGTATGGGGTACACGTCATGACATGCCTCAAATCTCGGTTAGGGGTCTTCTTTATTATACACTATCTGACTAAAAACTTCACCCCCACATCGACAGGAAAGGCTGGCCTCTCGTCGAAACTAAATTTTGGGTCAATGTTTTTTAAAGAGCCGAAGTTATGGTAAAATAAAAGTTCACTTCCGGATATAGTCATCACAAAACACTAAGGTGTCGGTATGCCATACGGAAGTGGCTATTCTCATCCGGGGTGAGAATAGAAAAACGATCTACCTCTCACCCCGGGTGAGACTTGCGACCGTAGGCTATTCTCACCCGGTTTGAAACAAGACCTGTTTTTCCTAATTTCGGAATACTTTCTATCGATGTGGATGATCAAATTGATAAAAGCCAAGAAAAAATTACGTTATAGCACAAAAGTAAGCTAATTTGATCGTCTTCAAAGATGCTATGGCTATTTCACTGTTCGAATCGAGCCGAACTACGCGGGTCGCCATTTTGTTTTGCCCGGAAGTTCTCGCAAGATCTAGGCATACTCCTACCCCCTCTCTCTCTCTCTCTCTCTGTCTCTTTCTGAATACTGTCTATCGGTGTGGACGATCAAATTGACCAAAACAAAGTTAAAAAATGATGTTAAAACACAAAAGTAAATTAATTTGGTTGTCTACAAAGATGCTACGGCTATTTAACTTTTCGAATCAAGCCGAACTACGCGGGTCGCCATTTTTTTTGTCTTGACCGGAAGTTCTCGCGATACTCTCTCTCTCTCTCCACTGCCCACAGACAAAATTGTACGCTTTTAGTAGGCTACAGTTGTAATGGAACGTTTGTTCACAGCACAGAATTTTACAATTTTTCTGTTATCACAGTGTAGAATTATGTGGTTTAGGGTGAACGCAAAATTTGTTGGCCTAGATCTAGGCTATAACGGTGAACGCGCACCGGGTGAGAATAGCCAAAAGACTCGCCTGCACTATTCTCACCCCGGGTGAGAATAGAGGTGGCCATGCCATACAGACAGGGGCTCTAGATCTAATGAGACCTGTACTTAGCAAGTTTGAGTCGATAGGGCCAAACCTAGATCTAGATCTAAGTACGGCTAGACTGGCAGTCTAGGGCTAGCCACTTCGTTCTTATTTCTACATCTAGATCTAGATCTAGATATCTAGATCTAGATTTTAGATCTATTATTCGTTTGAACGCGCGGCGAGCCAAGATATCAAACCAAACAACTGCAAAACATCAAATTATATGGTAAAATCAGGAGGGCATGCCTGAAACCCCACCTTATTTTTATTCGGTCAGGGGGGCAACCTTGCCCCCCTGAAACACCCCTACTCTTTGGGCCAACGCTTCCCTTGGGCCAAAACCAGCGAATAACAATTATTATTTTAATTGCGGGGTGGGAACTACCGAAAAAGCGCCTAAGTCTAAGGTCTTAGGGTCCTGTTAACATTAGAAAACAGGTCTCATTGGTAATTATTCAGGTTTAAAATGTACATGCACTGTCAGTAGGGCACCTGGTTTTGTCTCAAATTACAAATACTTTAGGTACTGCAAACCCAGCAGTCTCGCCGTCATTTTAAAGAACGTCGTACGGCTAGCCTCTTCCTTCAACTTCAATTAGCTTACCTCGCTTCTTTCTCCCAAGTATAGATTTCTGACGCTCCATACTTGAGGTGCATGTAAATATCGATAAGCAGTGGCCTAACTTGAGACAATAAAAGCAAAATAAAGCTCAGTTCAGGAAAGCATCTTTTCAATTTCTTGGTTGCACTGACATGGCTCAAGCCTCAAGGCGTCAAGTCAAGGCAAATGGCAAACGACAGGGGAGAGTTTGGGTTTTTAACTTGTTCGCATTTTCACTTCTTCTTTAGACCAATCTTTTTTACTGATAAAACTGCTCTCCAATTCGGCTGAACTAGAATCTAATATAATACTTTGAATCTCTCACTTACAAAATCAAAATAAAAGTTTTAAGAAACTGTTTATAATTCACCAAATAATAAATTGTACTACCCCATCAGCTTCAAATAGTTTCAACTTCCATATTCTTTCATTTTATAGGTTTTATGAGCACTCAGTCAAATTCTTTCGTAAATCTTTCACTAATTTGGTTGCAGTTTTATCTTAACTAGAAAAGATCTTGCCACTTAAGCTAACGATAAGTAGGGATTCAAGTTTCAGAGAAAACAAGAATAACACAATTCAGAAGTGAATTTTACTATCTTATCAATAATATTCCAATTTAGTTGGAAATTATCTGTTTTCTTTCTCTATATTTCAAAATAATTTAATGTGGCATCCCAAAAATACTCCCGGACGACAGACACCTGGCAGGAAATTTACCCATGCTTCGACAACATCCGCTGTGTCCTTAGTCCTTGACTCCTTGGAACGACAGAAAGCAGTTTGCATCATTGTCATTCGAAGTTTAGAGTTTCCCCCTGTTTTTAATATTGTCAGAAGTTGTCAAAATGGAAGATAAAGTACCACCTTCTCCGAATTATAATCCTTATTCTTCATCTGATCCATCCATGAATGTACCAGGTAGGTCTGAGTCTGGCAATGGCAGTTGAAATGGAAGAGGCTAGCCGTACTTTATAGTATAGTCTAAGACTTCTAAGAAGTGGCTATATAAGGCAAGCCTATATTATAGTAGCCTATATAGCACAAAAGTAAGCTAATTTGATCGTCTTCAAAGATGCTATGGCTATTTCACTGTTCAAATCGAGCCGAACTACGCGGGTCGCCATTTTGTTTTGCCCGGAAGTTCTCGCAAGATCTAGATCTACTCCTCCCCTCTCTCTCTCTCTCTCTCAGCTCTGTCTCTTTCTGAATACTGTCTACTGTCTATCGGTGTGGACGATCAAATTGACCAAAACAAAGTTAAAAAATGATGTTAAAACACAAAAGTAAATTAATTTGGTTGTCTACAACAAAGATGCTACGGCTATTTAACTTTTCGAATCGAGCCGAACTACGCGGGTCGCCATTTTGTTTTGACCGGAAGTTCTCGCGCTACTCCTCTCTCTCTCTTTCTCTCTCTCTCTCTCCACTGCCCACAGACAAAATTGTACGCTTTTAGTAGGCTACAGTTGTAATGGAACGTTTGTTCACAGCACAGAATTCTACAATTTTTGTTATATCACAGTGTAGAATTCTGTGGTTTAGGTTAGGGTGAACGCAAAATTTGTTGCCCTAGATCTAGGCTATTATAACGGTGAACGCGCACCGGGTGAGAATAGCCAAAAGACTCGCCTGCATTATTCTCACCCCGGGTGAGAATAGAGGTGGCCGATAGTCTAGATCTATCTAGATCTAGAATGTAGTCTTAATGACGCCAAGGGAGGACTTCCGTAACGAGCGACCACTATGAGACAGAGCAGAATTGAGGGCTTGGGGTAGGGGTAAGGTAAGGGTAGGGTAAGGGTTAGGTCTAGGCCTCTTCTTTATTGTGTTTGATGGGGTGGTCGCTCGTTATGGAAGTCCTTCCGACACCAATGACGGCTAGCCGTACGTTTTTGATTAAGTACGGCTAGACAGCTGAGCTAGCCGTACTTATTCTTGATGGCTAGACTGACCATAAAAAAAGGTAGCGTCAATTGCCACCGAGTGACGCTGTGGCAATTGACAAAAGGAAGTGGTTATTCTTACCCGGGGTGAGAATAGAAATACGATCGACCTCTCACCCCGGGTGAGACTTGCCACCGTAGTAGGCTATTCTCACCCGGTGTGAAACAAGACCTTACGAAGTGACTATTCGGACTCGAGTCCGAATATGAAAAAATGTTATTCGGACTCTGATTCTTGTCCAACATGACATCAATTCCGACTTCCTGTGACTCGTGACTCCGGCTTCCTGTCCTGCCTCACTCGTGACTCGCCTCAGGATGAGGAGAGACCGGGACCACTTCGGGCAAAATGGCGTTAAATTGTGCCGGAGCCGAGTTCTTATTTTATGATGAATTTTAGGCCGGCCTGAGAAGTTAGAGTGCTCCTAATAAATGTTTATTTGTCAAGAAGTCATCAGAAGCAATTAAAGATGGTAGCGTGTGTCGGGGTCAGATGGGCGGCCTGCACACGTGTGGCTGTGTGTGCGTGTCGGGGAAGGGGGGGTTGCTATCGGTCCGGGCGTTGAACGTCGCATACGCGTCAGGTCCCCCCCGGCAACGGATCATTATTACAATAATAAGGTAGTCTTGACGTAGATCTACATACATAATGAATTGTGCGCTGGTCTATGGAATCAAAAGTTGCCGTTTGCTCAGCTCTACACAGCAACACAACTTTTTCTTGGTAAACAATCGAGATGACACAAGCTTGAGTATTTGAACGAATTGGTCTTTTTTTTTTTTTACACAGCTCATAATATGCAGGTGCCAGGTGGTCTGCTGATCTTCAATTTTACCTTTTTCTACAACAAAGAAAGTGGGAAACGTGGGGGGGGGGGTATCAATGAGGCGGCGGGCATCGGATCGGCAGAAAAGGTGTTGGGGGAAACTAAAAACGAAGTGACTATTTCTACGAACGTTCGGAGAAATAGTGCCCATCTTTATTTCTCCGAACGGTTTCCGGCTTCCGGTCTCGTGATTTTTTGCCTATTTATTGCGAGAGTTCGGCGCCAACTTTCATTCTGCCTCTGGTCTGGGGAAGGAACACCGCATGGCAAGCCCGCCTACAGACAACCTTCAGTAACACCCACCACACTCCCACCACCATCATGCACATGTACACACACAAACTTATACACACAGTAACTAAACATGACCAGTGGGCAACTTTTGAACATTTGACGAGCTGAGCTGTGAATGGAGAGACAGTGTGAGTGAAAGAGCGGGTGAAAGGAAGAATGTGCGAGTGTATCCACAGGCGACAGCAACTACAAGTCGACGACACCGACCCTCCTGGCCTGGTCCACAGCTCACGAACGAAAGTAATGCAGCTTAGGCAGTGTTTTGCCTATATTATTGTCCATGGTTCGCAGGGTGCAAGGGAATGAGTGAGATTTTCTTTGTGTGTGCCTGGAGGGAGGGGGTGGGGTATGAAAGTCATGCGGACGGGATGAGCCGCGGGAGAGAACACGGGAATTGAATGAATGAGTGAAACTGAAAGAGAAGAACGACTCATGAGCCCTGGAGTGAATGGATCCTGTGTTTCTATTTTTGTATACTTTGAACTGTTACTGAATGAAGGCTGAAATAAAGTCCGAAATACAAACACACACACACACTCCTCACTCTCCACTTACACACTTACTACCACACACAGACACACTCACACACGCACATACATACACATACACACACACAGGAGCAAATTTTTGGGTCTATATCTATTTCAATTTTCAAGAGCTAGTCTAGAGATGTTTAGATGAGTGTAAAAACGTGAAAAAGAAAGGTTTCACAACAGAATGAAATCAAAATTAGAACAGCCCATAATAAACAACAAACATTAAAAAAATAAGGGCGTGTCGTGTCCACCTGTCCGAAGAAGATTTGCTGTTTTAACCCTAAATGTGCGTAATAAAAAAAAAAGTACAGGATATTACATGTAAATTATGGAATCACACACATTAAGGGGCCTGCCAGTGTCAGTACATTATTGGTCGCGGCAGTGACCAGAGCAGATGCCAGTTCTATGTGTCATTATCAATAACCCTCCGTAGATCTAGATCTAGATCTAGACAGCACACGAGTGAACACAACACATTACGTTTAAGAGCAGCACCCTTCATAGGCAACACGTCATATCTGTAGCGAAAAACTGTTTGGAATTGTAGCATTCTTTATAAATATTTACTGTGGACATTTTTTGGACCGATTGAACCATTATATTGTATACGAACAATCTTTGGTAGGCCTATACTATAATTATAGATCTATATAATATCCGAAATTTGCAGGAAAGGATGTGATTTTAGAGTGTTCGGAGAAATAGTGCCCAGCTTTATTTTCCCGAACGTTCGGAGAAATAGTGCCTAGCTTTATTTTCCCGAACGTTCGTTGAATTAGTGCCGGCCAACTAAAAAATGGTGGAAAATTGGAAGCACTGAACGTTAGATCTATAGAACGAAGATACTTCCTTTTTTCCGGACCCGAGTCCGAATAACATTTTTTCATATTCGGACTCGAGTCCGAATAAGAATTTTTTAAATTCGGACTCTAGTCCGAATATGAAAATATGTTATTCGGACTCGAACGACAGCCATTTTTATTCTTACCCCGGGTGAGGATAGCCACACATTGAGACAAAACCAGGTGCCTTAATGACAGTGCATGTATTATTTATACCTCCTGTTTTCTAATGGCACTAATGTTAATAGGGCCTAAGGTAAGTACGGCTAGACTGGCAGTGTAGCCGTAGTAGACTTCTTGGCTAGCCGTACTTAAGTACGGGTAGACAGCCAGGCTAGCCGTACTTAAGGACGGCTAGACTGTCAGGCTAGCCGTACTTAATATTGATGGCTGAATTGTAAATGAAATTTTTAATTTGCAATGCCTAAAGTATTTGTATTTCAGACAATACCAAAAGGTGCTTTACTGACTTGCATGTATTTGAACCTGAATAATTACTAGATCTAGATCTAATGAGACCTTTGTACTTAACAGGTTTGAGTCGATAGGGCCAAACCTAGATCTAAGTATGGCTGGACGCTCAGGCTAGCCGTGCCACTTTGGTTGAAATTGTCAGTGTCAGCCTTGTTGTCAATGTTGATGAACCCTTGAATAATGAATTTTAATTGGCCGGCTCTATTTCTCCAAACGTTCGGGAAAATAAACTTGAACTCTATTTCTCCTAACAGTTTCCGTTCTTGAGATGTGTTGATAATAAGCGAATGGAGTGGCCCGTGTGTGTGTAAGGTGTGAACGAGGGGGGTGGGGGAGGGGCGTGGAGGGATTTTCTTTTTTTGTCGTTATTCTCACCCAGAGTGAAAATAAAAATATAATTTTATTCTCACCCCGAATATCCATTTCTATAGAAAGTGGCTATCCTCACCCGGGGTGAGAATAAAACTACGATAGACCTCTCACCCCAGGTGAGACTTGCCACCGCTGGCTATTCTCACCTGGGGTGAAACAAGGCCTGTTTTTCCTAATTTCAGAATCTATCGGTGTGGATGATCAAATTGACAAAAGCAGAGAAAAAATGACATTTTATAGCACAAAAGTAAGCTAATTTGGTCTTCAAAAAGTGAAATAGCCATAGCATCTTTGTAGACCTCCAAATTGGTTTAATTTTGTGCTATAACATTATTTTTCCTTTGTTTTTGTCAATTTGATCATCCTCATCGATGACAGTATTCAGAAATTATGAAAAACTGGTCTTGTTTCACACCAGGTGAGAACCAACACTGGCAGTCTCACCCGGGGTGAGAGGTTGATTGTATTTTTATTCTCACGCGGGGTGAG